GTTTCATTGCACTTAGCCTTCACTTCTCGATCAAGAGCTTTTAGGATGAGGGTGAGGGTGTGTATCAATGATAAAACAGACGAAGTCGTATATATAAAATGCAAATTAATCTGCTGATCTCAACCCTTGCTTTTCTGCAACCGATGTTTTTGTCGAAATAAATTGAAAATAATGTGCTTTTATATAATAATAAATGCAGAGTTTAGTTTCGCCTACGCGTTTCGTGTTATTTATTTAATAATAAGAAAACACTCATCAGGGCTCTGCATAAAAAAGTTTTTAGCACAAAAAGAAGTGTAACAAATAATTAATGGAAATGAAAAATGAAAAAATATTAGAACGATATGCTTGAATAAGATGCACAAATAGTATGAAAAAAGAATGCTAGAATAATATAATAAAAGGAAAATGATAAATACTACAATAATATGAAATATGATAATCAAACGAAAAAAGAAGAAAAGGGGGAATCAAGATAATGTTATATTTTAACCAAATAATCATAAACAGTTGTAACTAATTATTAACCAAATAATCGTAATCAGTTGTAACTAATTATTATCGAGGTAATTTTTTATGGTAATCACGTTTGCAAATGAAGATATATATTATATAAATTATAATCGATTAAATGATATAATAGACAATAAATAGACAATAAATGAAGATATAAAATAAAATTAATTAAATCATATAATAGATGATAAATATTAAAATAGTGAGATGGTGCGCATTACAGAGTATGAAACAAATTTTTCTTGTTAAAGCTTTTATAGTATTATAAGTTTATAATGAATTTTAATAGTATCACTATATATTTTTTTGAAAGGTTATGAATTTGTTTTAATAATGCTTTTATTATAAATTTATTATTAAAAAATGGAAATATTAATGTTGCTATACCAACGGCTTTCGTTCTCAACAATATTAATTAATCATAAGGTATAAATTAATGAGTATGGACTAGTCGTCGTTGTAAATTATCGGTATTACGAGTACCAAGAATAGGAGTAATATCATTGATAGGAGATTCTCCAAAATATTTGTTCCATAATGTGTGGAATTTCTTAGGAAACGTTGCCATGTTTGTACAATATGTAAAATGGACAAATATTGTTCTCCTATGGTCGATTGGCACCTTTTCTTTGAAAGAAGTGTTTATAACTTGTTCACGTAATAAATTATAATTATGAATAGTAAATGTTTGATTGATATTAAATTTTTGTAATACCAAATTAAATTGTTGATCGATGATTTTACCGGGATATTTGTTTAATAACAAATCCATTTTTCGCTTACCTCTTTCTTCTAGATAGGCTTGAAGTGTCGAACAGTATCTAATAGCACGAAGTAACATTGCAAATGGTATATTCTTTTTCATGTGCATCGGATGGATACTGTTAAAAGGTAAGTAATATGGTTCATATGATGGTTTATGATACACAGTAGTAAATAGTTGACCATCTTGATTCTTTATATATAAATCTAAAAAATTCGCTTCGAAACGAATATCAGCTGACAATTTAATATTTGGATCGAATTTATTCCATCGATCAACTTCTTTCATAATATGGCGTATCGGCCAATTAATTATAATGAACATATCATCAATATATCTTAAATATAAGCCACCACTATTATTAATTTGTCGAACAATATCTCGTTCAAAAAAGAACATATAACAATCAGCAGTGGTGAGAGTAAGAGGAGAACCCATAGCTCCTCCTCGAATTTGATGATAATATTGGTCATCATATTTAAAATAGTTATTTTGAATAACAAATCTGGCTAGACGAATGATTACTTCAGCTTTAAGACCTTGTACTTGTTTTAAATTAAGATAATCTAGCATTTTCCTTAAGGATAACACACCTTCGACTTGTGGAATCATTGTATATAAATCGGTAACGTCTATTGTACCCAATATAGTCTCTTGTTTCATGTTGTTCTTTGACCATCCTTGTAGTTTTTTCACTAGTTCAAAGCCAGACATGACTGTTGTCTTTAAGGCCATTTTATCAAATAATAGTCGAAGTATATCATCAAGAAACTTAGAGATTTTAATTGTAGGATGTTTTAAACCAGATATAATTGGTCGAAGTGGAGTTTTCGGTTTATGTGCTTTTGGTAAGTAATAGAGATGAGCTAATTCGACTTCATCTTTTTTAACACATAATTGCTCATATTGTTTTTGTGTTATCCATTTAGCTAGGCGTAATTCAAATAAAGATCGATTGATACGAGTAATAAGATCAGGTAAAGGATCTTGAGTACCAAGACATCGATAAGCATTGGTCTTATTCATATATTCCATAGATTTTTTGTGATAATCATCGAGCTGTCCCAAATGAAAAACTTTTGATTTATCAGTTTTTCTAATAATCGTATTAGTTAACCGAAATTTATGTTTTAATCTTTTGATTAATCGATGATAATTTTTCTTCTTTTTAACTGGTTTATTATTAGTTTGGGATTGACTTGCAATAATTATATTATCTGGAATAGTAATAGAATTATTTGAATTGATTATTGAATTAAATTGACGACGATTTGTAGTGGTAAGAGAAATATTATGAAATTGTTGAAGAAGAATATCTAATTCATTAATAAATTGTTGAACTGGACGACCGGGGCTAACTTTTTCTCGTAAAAATGAGTTTCAACTTTTCTTTTAAGTGTAGCCAACTCGGTTATACGTCGTCGTGATGCCATTTTAGGATCATTAAAGATATATCGAGGACCAAAATTTAATAATTGATATTCTTCTTTACTTAAGTTAATATTTGATGTTTGATTGATTATGGACGGGCCGTGAAATCCTCGCCCAATTGTCGAAACAGAGTCGGGGCAATGTAATTGTCTTCTTCTTGTTGGTTGTTGTTGCCCTCGACTCGCTGTACCTCTAAAAAGTATAACGATTGTTTAACTTCTAAATCTAATCGTTTTAAATGTAATTCATGATAAGTTAAATATGCAGCTTGAGCAGCTTCTTCTTGATTTTGTGTATTAGTTGTTGGTAATTGATTTGGATGAGGAGAAAGAGCAATTTCTCGTTCTTCATCTTGATTATCAGATTCTTCCATAGCGTCATCATGATTTGTAGTTAAATCTAAATTTATTGTTGTTGTTCTTGGGGCTATTGTAGTAACTCAATGATAAAACAGACGAAGTCGTATATATAAAATACAAATTAATCTGCTGATCTCAACCCTTGCTTTTCTGCAACCGATGTTTTTGTCGAAATAAATTGAAAAGAATGTGCTTTTATATAATAATAAATGCAGAGTTTAGTTTCGCCTACGCGTTTCGTGTTATTTATTTAATAATAAGAAAACACTCATCAGGGCTCTGCATAAAAAAGTTGAGGATGAGGGTGAGGGTGGCTGAGGGTGAGATATGACGTAAAGTGCTTTTTGTTATGATCGTTAGATCACCACTGCGCGATATCCACTACACCTCCAACACACAAACACATTCCACATGTCTATGAGACAAGTGAAAAGTGATGCCCGAGGTGAGACCCGAACCCACGACCTTCCGATTACATGTCGGCTGCTCTACCAACTGAGGTACCCGGTCACACATAACCATTATCACAAATCCATATGGATGTGCTATGTGCTGGTGTGGAAGTGATCTGTCATATATGATGAGGATTTATTTCGCTGTAGTGTAAAGGCATAGCCGGCTACAACACAATAGTTACTTATCACTGAGCATCATATGATGTCACTGCATATCACTGAGGGTGAGATATGACGTAAAGTGCTTTTTGTTATGATCGTATATAGAATTTTTGTGTAGATAAATTCAAAGCATCACACGACGCGTTTCGACTGTTGCTTAGGCAGTCTCATCAGGTATGTTAAGAGGGTGAATAATAAATAAATAAGCGAATTAACAATGGTAAGTAAATAAGTAGATAAACAAAAAATAGAATTAGATTATTAAATAAATAAGTAAGAAAAAAGAGGTTTTTTTGAATTTATATAATTTTATTTATATTTTTGTATATTTTTAAATAAATATTCTTTTCTTAAATATTTTAAGAAAAGAGCAATAAATGAAACAATAAAGAAATAAGCTAGTTTTTGTTGAGATAAGTTTAAATGAAAAAAATGAACTTTTTTTTTTTTAACTTTTTAGTGAAAATAAATTTTATTTTTTAGATAATTTTTATGAGAAAAAAGATTCTCTTATTTTTGAATAAATGAAATTAACGAATAAATAAATAAATAAGAATAAATGAAAAAATAAGCTAGTTTTATGTTGAGATGAGAAAAATTGAACTTTTTAGTGAAAATAACTTTTAATTTTTAAATATTTTATGAGAAAAAAGATTCTCTTATTTTTGAATAAGTAAGAAAAAGAAAAAACTTGAATTTTTATGAGAGTAGAATAAGATAAGCAAACTTTGATTAAATATTTAGATTTTTTTGATTTTTATTAAATTTTATTGAATAAATATATAACAAACGATGAATAACACAATAAATTGTAATAAGCGACGCGTTTCGAATTTTCTTCAGGCTATATGACTATCTACTGATTTTGTCTATCCTTATATAGTTCTACTCTCATTATACTCCCGTCCGCCGGTTACTCTCGTCTATTCTCATCTATGCTCGTCCGGCTGACCTTGACCTTTCTACTAACTCAATGGGATATGACTCATCTCAACTCAACTCAAGGGATGTACTCAACACTATTATCAAAAACTACTTTGAAATACAAAAAATTAGATACAAAAAAATACAAAAAACTAGTAAACTGATATACTAATAAACAATACAAAAAAAAAATACGGAAAAAATGTTTATGAATCGATGTTGTATCTAAAATATAAAGGGCAAAAAGAAGCGAGTATCTGTTTTTTATTATTCTATATTTTCTATAATATTTTTTATGACGTTTCTGGATGATTTTTTATGGACTAGAATATTTTTTAAGTTATCGGTTAACCGATGCGCAAAAATCACTGAAATATCACTCAATGGGGTATCCTCGAAAATTTCCTGCCAAATTTGATAAAATCTAGATCCAAAGCGGGCTAAACTTGGTGTATATGTGAAATGACATAAAATGTCCTTATTGAAATTTATTTGTTTTTTTTCTTTTTTATTCCATTCCGGATCTAAAACCTTATTTCTAAACTCACTATATTGCTCACTTAACAATAATTTTGAATTTTTTTCTCCCGTTAAAGCTTCGAAAAATCTCTGAAAATGCTTATCTATAAATCTAGACGGATACTTATTCAATAAAAGAGTTATTCTAACTATTTCTATTTCCTCAGCTAAACTCTCACTGTGTGAACATACTCTAACTGCCCTTAATAATGCTGAAAATGGGATATTTTCATCACATGCGGCGGATGTGCTGAAATGAATGGTAAAATGTATGGCTGTGCCGCTAGTTTCCGAAAGACCTTAGTCCTAAAATTTGGTGTTTCTACACTTATTCTCACGTCAAGATAATCTACATGCTGTCCTGTTCCAAAAGTTAATCCAATGTTCTTATCTACCTTGCGGAGTTCTATTAATACCTTATCCATATCTACCTTATCCCTTCTAGTTGTTAGAAATATATCATCCCGGAATCTAAAGTATAACTCCCCCTCTGAAATTTGTTGTTCCCGAAAGTTTCTCTCCCATTTGCGCATATAAATATCTGCTAGTACTTGGGTACATTCTGATCCCATGGGGCCTCCTCTTATTTGTTTAAAATATTTTACTGTTTCTCCCGGTAACTGTAAAGCGAAAAAAGCGTTTTCTAGAACATGTTTGAAAAGAGTTCTTACTGTATTTATCAGTATTTCTCCCTTAACTTTTAAGATCCCGTTTTGCCCCAACATTTCACATACGGCCAATATTGATTCCTGTTGGGGAATCATTGTATATAGGTCCGTAATGTC